GCTTTACCTGCATCACCGTCTTATTTTAGTGTGTCGTCATGCAAAATCAGTTCTTTAGCACTAAACGCAGAGTACAGCTGAGAACGGCGAGTATTCCTATACATTGACCCGATGCCGGCACTAAATAAAAAGTCAGAGACTCACCAAAGTTATTAGTTTATGAAATGTCAACTCTGTGGGTCATCATGTTGGTAGAATGTGAGACGATAATGTTAGATTTCAGACTTATGCTGCAGAGTTTCTTGCTTTTCTGCAGGCTGTAAGCAAAATTGCACATGCAGACGTTTTCTAAATGTTTGTGTTGACTGAGTGCATTTGAATAAACTGTTTGATTGTGTGTGTGTTCCAGGCTCCTGCTCAGGTCAGACTGAATGAAGTGACATATGGGGAAGTGACTTTCACAAACCCCATCAATAAAACCCTGACAAACTGCACGATGACTTTCTCTGGAGCCGGCCTGTTTAAAAAGGACCTTGATTTTGAGTAAGAAATATGAATTTTCCTTTTTCCTCACAAACCATCCAGAACCATGACACTGCCTCAAAAAACATGTCTGATATGTTTCTATAAATCGCAAACTGAATCTGATCAAAGTAGAAGCTGACAAAATTCCGACTTTGCAAAACATTTTCCTTTAACCCTTTGTGTTACTTGCAGGATTCCAGATGTGCTACCAAACAAAAGTGCACATGTCAAGTACCACTTTGCTCCCTACAAGAAAGGAGTGAAGACCGTCATCGCCGACTTTGACTGCGACTCCTTCAGAGACATCAAGGGCACCTGCACCGTCAATGTCACCGAATGAATTCTCAGAACCGCTGAGAATTAACACTTATGTGCTCAGAAACATAACGCTAGATGCATTTATTTCAGTTTCTGCACAGTTGTTTACATGTAATGGAATTTTGTTAGCTTTAGAGATCCGCCTTTACAGGATTTACGATATTTAATCTTATATTCTGATTTTATGTTGGTGTTGTGTTGTTTTTTTCTGGTGTAGCAATTTCCCTGAGGTCTTGTACCAAAGGGATTAATAAAGTGTTATTCTAATTCTTCTAATTCTAATTCTAATATATAATATATTGAATACATTTGCTTCATTCTGGGAGTTAATTTCTTCATGTGGTTACTATGACATCTGTGCTTGTAATGTGCTTTTTTAGTGAAACTTCATTCAG